TATGATTCTGAGTGGAAGTAGATCCCAAAAAGAGATTGATCAACGCCAAGGCTTTATCTCGCATCCTCAATGAGTTAATGGTCCTCAGTTGTGAAGAGAGCTTGCTTTCCGGGCCGAGTTTGAGGGAAGTATCGGTCAGCAACTGACGTGGTTTATCGCTTTTATCTATGGATCGTTGCTACACCACCGAAACTGCCATCGCATGAGGAAGTGGTTGTATACTAGACCGGTAAGCGTGAGGTACAGGTTCAGTTGCAGCCTGAGGCTAAATCTTTCGCGCAAAACATTCTAGCGACAACATGGAGCGGTATTCCTCGCGTTGTTGTTAAAGTGCAGCTTCAATGGTAAACAAGTCTGTTTCTCGAAAAATCTCGTTTAGGTGAAGAAAATGAGCCGCCAATCGTAACTAAAGGGGTTCGAGCACGGGATATGTCACATCTTATCATTTGGGAAGTTGACGCCGAATTGCCAGTGGTCTCCAGTTGATAATTGTAGTCCTATCAATTGTCCTTTGTGTTGACTTCCTCGCTGTTTTTGGACGAAAACACCAGCTGACCAAATGTTATTGATTTCAACCCATGTACTAGTCGCAGGATGCATTGGAAACACTACTTTAAGCTTTAGTTGTCTGTCAGCTCCACTCGGTTCTCTCACTGCTTTTGCGATGTTTCATCACTTTGTGTAAATCTTCCTTCTACTTCTCTAATGAGCACTCTTAATTCCCCCCCCCCACTCTTCCGTGTAATTTTTATGTATAAATAACTCTCTAATATGAGTAGAAATGGTCTTGCCTTTTCAACCAAAAACAAGGCATCCATTTTCCCCAAGGCTGGTTTACCAGCCATAGAGCTCTGTTTCTTAAGTTTTATGATTGAAACTCTTTCAATAAGCTCCCACTGGGGATATTCTTTTCAATTTCGAAATGATCTGGGTAATTTTCAGTGGTAAATTGTATTTACGAAGCAGTTATCTCTATGAATTGAACGTTGGCCTCTTTCATTTCATCTCTATATAACTGCTTGCTCGACATTTGTCTCATTCATTATTATGCACCATTGTCACCCCACGCATTGCTAGTACGTTCGTTATTTGTTGATTGTAGCGAGATCTTGCAGCCGAAAATTTTAATAAATTCGTATGAATTATATTTTTGTGATATTGTGATCAAAGGAGCGTTGTTCTGATAAAAGTGCTTCGTTTTTCGATCGAATATGCACCATGTTCCTCTAAAGATATTTCCAGATGGCTTTACGGGTACAGCATTGTAAAAAGGCAATGGAATTCTTCATAGACCTAGGTATGTCTCGAGCTTATTAAAATTAAATTTGGAATTTATTCAAGTTTAGCTGAGCGCGGTGTCGATTAGGAGATCCACGTTGTGGCAAAGTGTACAAAATAGCTGACTGTTCCTTCTAGTTTACTTGACAAATGTAATATCTTTGGATGAAATCATTTAGGTTCCGATGCAAATGTCGCATGCGCGACGGCATTACACATCCGCGTGTTTCAACGTAAATTTCGTGATCAACACCCAGCGCAGCGATGCTTGTTCTTAAGTGTTTGGGTGTATTCTACAAAAAAAGGGGTAAGGGGCGTTTTGGTGCGATTGCGGGTCACTAGGATGAAGTTTTCTGGGCGCTGTTCGGCTCGAAGAGGGAGGGGAGCGGAGGCGGGAGGGGGGATACTTTCTTGTTGCTGGTTTCGTCAGTTTCCTCACTTTTGTGGACCCGTTTTGTCAACTCATGTGAGACTGCGACCTAAGACAAGTTCCGCCTAACAGCTTTGTTGGGGGCTGTAAATTAGTGCCGAGTTTTCTTCAAAGACACCCTCCCTGCACTGAGATGACCCCTATCTGTGCGGAGGTTTCAACGCACTGTCTTTCGTTTCCTGTGAAACTGTCGACCGTAGGGTTCGTTATCTTACGGCTCTGTAATTTTGTCTGGGGACCCTCGCAGCTGCCTCGTTTGTTCGAATGTTTGTCCAGTGCTCAGGCATTTAGGCCCTATCCGACAATTCTGTCCCTATTTTTTCGCTCTCAGTTAGCTCATGTGAATTCATACTTGGACCTCACTGCCCACAAATTGCAATTGTGGCATGTGTCTCCAAACAAGACTGCAGTCTTTTTTTCGCTGCGGATGAATTAGGTGTCAGGAGGTATGGGCTTGGCGCGGCGCCAGACCCGTTCTGCTCCAGTTGCTGAAGCGGGACAAGCGACAACTGTTGGTGAAAAACAACCGAAAAGACTGTATATGTCTAGTGCGATCGAAGAGCAAGTTCGAAGGTTATCAAATTCAGCAGTAAAGTTGGATTGACTACTCACCAGATCTAGTGGATAGAAGAGTTTTGTAGAATAAAGTTGCAATTTCAAGTGTGCTGTTGCCATGTACACGAAACTCATGAATGTTACTTAATAGTCAGGCGGTGGACGGCGGGCGTATCTTCAGTATCGAGAACTTCCTGGCAAGATACTAGACTTTCATCATACTGAAACACCGTTCGAACGACGAGGAGAAGGCATTGCAAAACTTCTTGTGAAGGTAAGAACTGAAAGAGACCAGTTAAGTGCTTTCTCTTGTAAACAGCTGTTTGAGTGCAAGTGCTAGTCAGACACAACAAAATGGGTTCTCTGCTCAAGGTTCACCATGCACGTTACGATTGTTTGGGTTTATTTCCGCGGTGGCGACTGTTTTTGCTGCCTTTGCGATAACAGAGTACAGCAGCCTTGCGATATTCTATCGTCATGAACCCTGTAAACGATAGGGCATGTGTCTGCACGTGGATTGAAGCGCTGCCAAGGCAACTCTTCCACAACTGATAGCCATTTCGAGTCGCATCAGAAAACGTGTCTCTTCTCCCCCTCGCCCCCCGCCTCCCCCCCCACCACCTTACGGCCTATCCTTCGCAGGGCCATGCCTCGTGTGACGAGGACGTGAGTTGAATCGCAGCCAAAACAGTACCTCGCGCCCGTGCTTGCGGACTCAGGATGGCATCATTGATGGGAAGGACGCCTTGGCAGCACTTCAGTCCATGTCGCCGTCACACGGCCTGTTTGCAGGAATCATGACAGCACATTAGTTGCCCGTAGTGCTATACATAACCTCCAAGTTAGGTCTTCTTGGAACCCTGGCATCAAGATTGTGTTTGCGTATTATTAAGCCGTACAAGGTTCTTAATACGGACCGTTTTATTGTCCGGCGTTTCGACTAAATCGTCGTTGTCAAGAACCTTAAACGGCTGCACTTAACCTTTCCTGTGCACATTTCGTATTGGGTGGTGTTCGAAGAAGTGAAGAACGAAAAAACACAGGTGAGGGGATAGACAGAGCAAGGAAACGCTTGAATGAAGAGAAGGAATTGCGAGCATGCAATGAGAGTTGGGGCGTAAGGAACGAACAGTAGAAAGGGGTACGCAGAACGAGGGTAAGGATACCACGATCGTTTCGCTTTTTCCAAATTGCCTACCGCTTTTGCGTCATCACGCTTACACTCTGCAAATTGAACTTCATGCATTGGTCAGACAACTAGAGGCCAGACAGATCTTTGACGCTGCCGGCCGCGGAGTATTCGTCTAATTCACTTCCACGATGC